AATAAAGAACGAAAAATGAACTTGGACGTCAACCATGCCGCATTTAGCTCGGAATGTTTGCTCTATAAAAGACTTTTTGATCAGAAGAAAAGCAGCTTGCGTTTCAATAAATAGCAGCCAAGTTCCAGGAATGTGAACCAATTCAATTTTTTGTATTTGAATATTGCGGGGTTGTCAACAAACTACGTAGCATTACGTCAGATTGTTGAGGAAAAACGTCCTCTTTTAGTTTTATTATCTGAAACTCATATTGTAGAAACTGAAGCTTTTGATCAGTATAGTATTCCGGGATATATTGTTGCTGCTTGTTTATCACATTGTAGACACACTGGCAGTGTTGCTATTTATGCCAAAGAATCAGTTCAATTCAACCTTCGTACCAACGAAGTTATTGATGGCAACTGGTTCTTGGGCATTACAGTTGTACGTGGCATGAAGATGGGTTATTATGGTGTTTTGTATCATTCTCCCAGTTCTAGTGACCAGCGTTTTGTTGAAGTTTTAGAGAACTGGCTCGAGACATTCCTTGATTCTAGTAAATTAAATATATTGGCTGGTGATTTTAATATTAATTGGTGTGATAACCATAATTCGAATCATTTGAAGCGTTTAGCTGAGTTTTTTAATTTAAAGCAAACGGTAAATGAATATACGCGTATTTCCAGGCACAGTAGAACTTTAATTGACCACGTTTATTCCAATTTTGATTCCATTTGTTCAGTTACGGATACTGATTTGAAAATAACCGATCATGAGACTTTAGTGATTAATGTCTTAGACCATGTTAACGATAACGATAATTTTGTTAAATTGAAGTGCTGGAGGAAATATTCGAAGCAAGCTGTTTCAAATCTTGTTGAGAGAAGCCTGGATTTTCCATTCGCGGACGGTAACTTAGATGAATCTACAGCTGTTCTTAATAACACTTTGATAACGTGTTCCAATCAACTAGTTGAGCAAAAGTTTGTTTCTTTGAAAAACTCGAACAGCTGGTACAATTTGGATCTTTTGCGTCTTAAACGGAAAAGGGACAAATGGTACAAAAAGTTTTGAAGATCTAATAATGACAATCATTGGACTAGGTACACAATCGCGCGTAATTCGATAAAGAAAACTCGTTGTGAATATGTTCAAAGGAAGATTGATCAGCATCAAAACAACAGCAAAGAGTTATGGAAAATTTTAAAATCTTTATTAAAACCTAGTAATTGCAAACCGCGGTCCATAACTTTTAATGGCACATTAGAACAGTCAGAACAAGTAATTGCAGCTAAGTTTAATGATTATTTTGTAGATAACGTTTCATTGATTAATCAATCTATTGAATTGGTCGATGAACCTGACGAAATAAAACAGCCAGTTAATAGTAGTTGTAGATTTGAAGTTTTTCACCCAATCACATTAGATGAACTTAGAGTTATTTGTTTTTAATTAGGAAAATCGGCTGGAGTAGATAATGTTAATGCTAGAGTTATTCAAGATTGCTTTCATGTCATTGGCCACATCTTTCTGGACCTTATTAATGAATCATTGCAGAATGGACATGTGCCACAAATTTGGAAGGAATCCTTAGTGATTCCTATTCACAAAGTTGCTGGAACGATTAAAGCCGAAGAGTTTCGTCCCATCAACATGTTGCACACATTAGAGAAAATCTTAGAACTTGTTGTTAAAGGCCAGCTGTTGGAGTATTTGAATAGCAACTCTTTGTTGATACCAGAACAATCGGGATATCGGGAAGGTCATTCTTGTGAAACTGCATTGAATTTGGTGTTAGCAAAGTGGAAAGACAATTTGGAGCGTAAAGATACGATTGTTGCTGTTTTTTTGGATCTGAAACGCGCTTTTGAAACAATTTCTAGGTCCTTACTGTTAAGTACAATCAAGCGCTTTGGAATTACGAGTACTGCATATAAATGGTTTGAAAGCTATTTGTCTGACAGAACTCAACGGACTGTTTTTAATGATTCTGTTTCCAGTCCCGTGGCGAACAACCTTGGAGTGCCCCAGGTAAGTGTATTAGGGCCCCTTTTATTTATTATGTATATTAATGACTTGCGACGTGTTTTACGGTTTCGCGACATTAATCTTTTTGCAGATGATACAGTGTTATTCATTGCAGCTAAGGATTTAGAAGTTGCCGTCTCACACTTGAATGAAGATTTGCAGTATCTAAGTAGATGGTTGAAGTGTAAGCAGTTAAAATTGAATACAAGTAAAACTAAATTTATGGTAATTTCGCGGAATCGATTAAATGAGAACGTCTCTGTTGTAATTGATGATGAGACTATTGATCGCGTTCAGGAGATTAAATATCTTGGCGTGATTATTGATGACAAACTTAAGTTCAACTCTCACATTGACAATGTCATCAAGAAAATTGCCAAGAAGTATGGAATTCTATGTCGATTGAAAAACGATTTAACTATTGCCAATAAAATACAGCTATACAAATCAATCATCTCTCCTCATCTAGACTTTTGCCCATCCATTTTATTTCTGTCCAATGCAACACAAATATCGAGATTACAGCGCTTGCAGAATAAAATAATGCGATTGATTTTGAGATGTAATAGATTCACTTCCTCAACTTTGATGCTAGACGCCTTACAATGGTTGTCGGTGAAGCAAAGAATTGTATATTTGACTATGGTGTTCATTTTTAAAGTAGTTAACGGTTTGCTGCCTCGATATTTGTGTGATCGAATTGAAAGAGGAAGTGACTATCATAGATATAATACTAGAAACGCGGATGAAATAAGAACACCACATTTCTTGACTTGTGCTTCACAGAATTCATTAAAGGAATAAATGTTTTCAATTCGATGCCTAGACACATTAAACGTTCAACAACATTAGCAGAATTTAAGAGACATTGCATTTCACACGTTAAAACTGTCGGTTATCCAGTGATTTTTTTTTTTATGAATTGACAAATTATGTATCTTGACGAAGTTATTTTTAACGGATTATTTTGTATGGATAGCTGTTATATGGACTTTTTAATAATTATTGTAGCACTGCAAAAACTATTTTGTTCGCCACGATGGTGATGATGGATTTTTTGATATTTGATTTAATAGTAGTAGTAAAAAAATTAGTAGTCTACAAAGGTTTGAGCCTCGCGCGCCTATTACGGATATAGAGGACTGAATTGAACATTTGATAAAAAAAATGCAATTTTGAAGCTTATTTGGAAGATACCTTGAGTTAGTAGTAAGTTTTCTGGCAAATGTTGGGGTTCGTGAGCATTCCTGACATTGCTGAAAATTATGATAGCATCAGATTGCGGGGTTACTAGTGTAATATGATGCTTTGTTGATTGTTCATTAACTCTTGATTGCTTGTAATACTTATGAATATTTTAGGTGGACAAAAAGGCGAACTAAGAGGTGGACGCCTAAGCTTTTCAACATTTATATCGCTGTGAAGCAACTGTAAACTCTAGAGGGAATTTATATCTGTAACTGAAACCAGTTCGATTTTGTTTGCCAACCTGGTTAAAATGTCATATATAATTATCTTAAAGATAAATCGTCCAGCTCAAACCTTTGTAGGGGTAAGAGGTGGGACCATCATCATCATCAAATTTCTTAAAGTTGGGATTATTTCATCTTTTGCATATGTTGCATATCTATCTATCTATCTATATATATAAAAATGAATTTCTGTCTGTCTGTCTGTCTGTCTGACCCGTATAGACTCGGAAACTACTGAACCGATCGGCGTGAAAATTTGTATGCAGGGGTTTTTGGGACAGGAAAAGGTTCTTATGATGGTCCGAGACCCCTCCCCTTCTGTGAAGAGGGGCTCCCATACAAATGAAACATAAATTTCTGCATAACTCGAGAACTAATCAAGCAAATTTCAAGTTTAATAAATTTCAAATTTATATAAATATATTTATTAATTTCAAGTTTAATAAATTTATTTAATGGCAGTTGCAGCAAAGTTTGCTAGAATGCATATTTTCGTATAAAACTTTCGCGGGATGATTTTCTTAACTCAAGACATTTGGGAAAACAAACTTTGTTTCGAAAATTAAGCTAACATAAAAATTACAAAATCATTTATCGCAATATCGCACAAATCAGCATTTTTTGAAAATTCAGATGTTTACATCAGCTTCAGCTTAATGTTTTGTCGAATGGATTATTAGACAGGCACCGCGTCTTCGATACTATTGTACAGACTGGTTAAGCTTATGTTACGTTTTTAATCTTATTTTAAAGTATGTTTTGGCAATGTTGAAGGCTCTGAGGCAGGAACTGAGTGGATTGTTATAGCCATAACACGTTCTATGTCCGGAAACAGCAATAAGTGCCGAGTGCCGCAACTGACGCTCAGTAACGTTCAGAGGTATTTGCAGGAGACGGTACGAGCAATCCACGATATTCTTTAGGATGGACAAATATCAAAAAATCAAAGCTCATCAAAGAATAAGATCAAGCTTGATTTTCGTAGACAAAAATCAGCTAGCAAACAACTGCGGTTGATATTGCAAGCTGTGATATCGCAGCACGGAGTGTCAAGCTAACAAAACTCACCAGCTGCTAATCTCACCAAACTGTATTTTTGCTTTACAGCCGAACGCAACCGAAACTTCCATAATGGCTGGTAGCAGTAGCAGGGGCCTCCCTGAGCTCAGTCGGTAAAGGCGCAGCTACAAAGCAAGACCATGCTGGAGGTGGCTGGGTTCAATTCCCAGTCCGGTCTAGGAATTTTTCGGGTTGGAAAATGTCTCGACTTCCCTGGGCATAAAAGTATGATTGGACTTGCCCCACAATTATACCAATGCAAAAATGGTATAGGCATCGAAAGCTCTCAATTAATAACTGTGGAAGTGCATCTAGAACACTATGTTGAGAGCACGCAATAAGCTAATATGCGATATGCAATAAGCTTGAAATTGCCCCGTAACGTGGGTAGATCACCTTTTCGTGGTACGTTACGGGATGTAAGATCTACCACCGATTCCTAGTTGTTGCAACACCGCAGAGGTGAATCTGGCAACACTGCATAACGGTACTGCAGATTGAGTGCTGCCGTTAAATGTTGACAAATAGGAATGGAGATAAGTAAACAAGATGATAGTATGTAGTAGTAGTGGTAGTAGTAGTAATATAGATAATAGTGAGTGGTAAACATAATTCGCCATCGCAAATATAATCTCGATGTATTATTAGAATATAAACAATTCAGTTCCGCGGTTAAAGTTTATTATTCGAAAATCGTATATAAATAGTGCTAGATTGGTCGCAGGAGGTACAAAAAACGTTCCTTATTTACCGCTAAATCCTGTAAGTAAACGAAAAGGAATAAAATTTAGTTAAGTTAGTGTATGAATGTAAATATTTACCCTCGTTTACTTACCTGCAGCGACGGTCGATCGTGGTGGATACCTGTAAAGGATACATTCACCCAAAAAGTATCTACCATTCCTCGTTGGATTTAGATTGTAAGTAAAATAAAGTATGATACACATATTCTTAGTAACTAGAAGGTTTTTGATAGCACCTGCAAATAGGTCGAGCATATAGCACAACAACGTTAGGGTAGTTGGACCGAAGTTCGGATCAAGCGCAAATCATACAGCAAATCGTAAGTTTCGTAGCGTTAGTGATGAGTGATCGTTAATTAAAATTAATTCATTTAATAGGATCAACAGAGAGAGTGTAGGAGGAAGAAAAGGAAGCTTTATACAGTGGGAAAGGAAACCACTTTATTGTAAGTAACATCTAATATTAATAAAAATTGTAAGCTAATGATAATAAATGTTTACAGTTTGAGCGTTGCTGAAAACTAGTCAGCTGCTGTTGAAAATTTGGTTTCCCTACGGGAACAATTTCTCAAAAATAAAGTGACACAAGCGGTGTCCAAGAGAGAAGTTCGGACCTTCCCAAAGAAATGGCTTCCGATTCCGAAACGGCGGACAAAACAGTCATGGACCTGACAGCGACTCCGTGTGGAATCTGCGGGCCATCAACATGCGACGAAGAAATGGTAGGTTGCGACGGTTGCGCAAGCTGGTTTCATTCTCGCTGTGTAGGTCTAACGGAGGGACTGAAGCCGAAGAAATGGTACTGCCAAAACGAAGCCTGTCAGCTCCAGGCTCAGGAGTACCAAAGGCAGCTCAAAGAAGCCAAGAAGCAGGCTCGTCTTCGGAAGCCTACCGACGAGTCTGACAAGTCTAGCGTCAACTCTCGCAAAGGCTTTTCCATCGTGGAGCAAAAAGTGAAGGCGTTAGAGGAAAGGCAAAAGCGGCAGTATGAAGAGCTAGAGGCGGAGATGCAGCTGCGGAAGAAGGAAAAATATATGCAGCGCGCATTTGAAAGAAAAAGGTTGGAAATGGAGAGAGAGATGCGCGCTGAAGAAGAAGAAGAACAAAGAGCTTTGCAGGAAGAGATTCTGCAGAAGAAGAAGGCACAGATTGCGCGGATGAAAGCGAATCAGAAGTCATTCGAACAAGAGATGGCGGACCTGGATCAGGAGTTGGCAGAGCTATCAGTCGTCAAGGTTCCCAAGACGGTGCATAAAAAAGATGAAGACGGGATCAAAGCAGGACCCTCTGGCAAAGAGAGCAAGAAACCGCTGAAGCTAACTAAAGAAAATTTGAAGAAGCTCGCCGGAGACAACGATGATACCGAAGACGACGACGAAGAGGACGATGATGAAGACGATAGCAAAGAGGATGATACACGGTCGGAAGATTCGAAGGTAGCTTCCAAACATACCGAACCATCCGTGAAAAGTATTCCGCAGAAAGTTAAGAAGGTGGAGGAAAGAAGCCAAAACGGGCTGGGGCATAAGCAGGTCGGACCGACAAAGGCACAGCTGGCCACGAGAAAGGGGTTGACATTCAAACTTCCCAAGTTCTCTGGAAAACCAGCACAATGGCCATTGTTCTACGCGGCCTACAAAACTTCGAACGAAGCCTGTGGCTACATGGACCACGAGAACTTAATGCGACTGCAGGAATCCCTCGAAGGCGATGCTCTTGAGCTGGTGTCCGGTCAACTGCTTCTTCCCGAGTCGATTCCGAGGGTCATCGAGAAGCTGCGTCGGCACTATGGTCGTCCGGAACAACTGCTACAGAATCTACTGGACAAAGTTAATCATTTGGAGCCTCCAAAGCCAGACAACCTGAGGAGTTTCGTTCCTTTCGGAAATACCGTAGAACAACTCTGCGGACATTTGGAGGCCGCAGAACTACGGCAACACCTCGTCAATCCACTGTTGATTAAATCTCTGGTTGCCAAGCTTCCGGACCGTGAAAAGCGTGAATGGGTTCATTACCGGAGAAACAAAGGAGAACAAACGCTGCGAACGCTGACGGATTTTCTCATGGAGATAGTCGAGGACGCCTGTGAGGCAAACGTCGACGTGGATTTCAAGCCGGCGTATCAGCCCAAAGGTGGACCATCGTCCGGAAAGAAGAAACCGAAGGAAAAGGGTGCGTTGTACTGCCATAGTGGAGAAAATAGTCCAGGTGCAAGTTCGAGCGACCGGAAGAGATTAAAGCCGTGTAATCTATGTCAAAGCATGGAACATCGTCTTCGGCACTGTGCGGACTTTAAGAAGCTGTCGTACACGAACCGACTGAAGCTAGCGACCCGCGATAAACTATGTCACGTGTGCCTCAACGAGCATGGTGGTTTATGTAGGTTCAGGATTTTCTGCAACATCGGCGATTGTAAGGAGCACCACAATCCGCTGATGCATCCTGTGCGGCACACTTTCGGAATGAGTGCACATATTCGTTCGAACTGTACTGCCATGTTCCGTATGGTACCGGTACAGCTTCACTGTGGTGGAAAATCGATCACGGTCCTGGCGTTCCTGGATGAAGGTGCCTCCGTCACGTTGTTGGAGAAGAAACTCGCTGACCGGCTGGGCGTCGTTGGCGTACAAGAGCGGCTGACGATCAAGTGGACGGCTGATATCACGCGCGAAGAGAAGGACTCCCGGCGAATGAATCTGTGGGCGTCTGGTTTTAGTCCCGATGCGGGTGAAAAGTTGCTGCTGCATAGTGTTCGTACGGTTGGAAAACTGATGCTGCCACGTCAGAGGTTGGATTACCAGGAGCTTGCCACACAATACCAACACATGCGAGGATTGTCAATCGAGTCATACGACGGACAGCCGGAACTGCTCATCGGACTAAATAACATCCATTCGTTTGCACCGATGGAGGCGAAGGTTGGTGCACCAGTGGAACCAATTGCGGTTCGATGCAAGTTTGGGTGGACGGTATACGGTCCAAGGCACTCCGCCACGGTTGCAGCAGGTAATTATTTCGGTTACCACCAAGCGATCACCAACGAGGACCTGCACGAACTGCTCAAAAGCCACTACGCTTTGGAGGAATCGGTGGTTATGGTACCACAAGAGTCAACAGAAGAGAAACGAGCACGGGAAATACTTGAGCGGACTACCAAACGTGTCGGCGACCGCTTCGAAACTGGGCTACTGTGGAAGACAGATGATCCAAAGTTCCCGGTCAGTTTTCCCATGGCCGTGAGAAGAATGAAGCAACTGGAGAAACGACTACAAAAGAATCCGGAGCTGCACGAGAACGTCTGCAAGCAGATTGACGAGTACCAGGAAAAAGGGTACGCGCATCTGGCTACCGAGGACGAGCTGGCTGGAACTCCCCCCGACGAGGTCTGGTATCTCCCACTAAGTGTCGTACAAAACCCGAAAAAGCCAGGTAAGATACGTCTAGTATGGGATGCTGCAGCGACAGTGCAAGGAGTTTCTCTGAATTCGCTGCTGTTGAAAGGGCCCGATATGCTAGTACCCCTGGTAAAAGTTCTTTTCGGTTTCCGCGAATGGCGAATCGCTTTCGGTGGAGACGTAAAGGAAATGTTTCACCAGATGAAGATTCGCACCGAGGATAAACAGAAGCAGAGGTTCGTCTTCAGGAAGACTCCGGACGTTTCACCGAGCATTTATGTCATGGACGTGGCAACGTTTGGGTCTACAAGCTCCCCTTGTTCGGCCCAATTCGTCAAAAACCGAAACGCTGAGGAACTCGCCGCTCAATATCCTGCAGCAGCCGCAGCCATCATAAACCGGCACTATGTCGACGATTATTTCGACAGCGTCGATACGGTGGAAGAAGCAGTCAAGCTGGCGCAAGAGGTGCGCTTGGTACATCGGAAAGCCGGTTTCGAGATCCGGAACTGGGTGTCCAACTCGCCAGAAGTTATTCGGAGTCTGGGAGAGACGAAACCAGCCGCACCGGTGCACTTCAACTGGGACAAGCAGACTTCCAAGGAGCGAGTTTTAGGGATAATCTGGGATCCGGACTCCGACGAATTTGTCTTTTCGACAACGCATCGCGAGGAGTTGTTGGCGTACTTGTACGAGGGAAAACGGCCGACGAAAAGACTTGTCGCAAGCTGCGTAATGGGTTTCTTCGACCCGCTCGGATTATTGTCGCCATTCACCATTCACGGCAAAATTATCATCCAGCATCTGTGGCGTTCCAACTGCGACTGGGATCAGGAAATCGATATCAAGTGCTGGGAGCTGTGGAAGCGGTGGACCAGTCTGTTACCGGAGGTGGAAGCCATCCGAATTCCACGTTGCTACCTCGGAGGTGCTAAGTGCTCCGAAATCGATTCGCTGGAAGTTCACATCTTTACCGATGCCAGCGAACACGCGTACGGATGCGTGGCGTATTTGCGAGCGGTTGTCAACGGCAATGTTCATTGCAGCCTGATGATGTCTCGAGCAAAGGTGGCACCGATTAAACGTCAGTCAATTCCTCGTCTGGAATTAATGGGTGCGGTTCTGGGAGCCCGTATGAGTCAAACCGTTCTGGACACACATTCGTACAAATTCCTCCGTACTGTTTTCTGGACAGATTCTCGCACAGTGTGTAGCTGGCTGAATTCCGACCAACATCGCTACAAGCAATTCGTTGCATTTCGGGTCGGCGAAATCCAGGAGCTCACAAAGGTTACTGACTGGCGATGGGTGCCAACCAAACTGAACATAGCAGACGTATTGACGAAGTGGGGACAAGGTCCACCTCTTCAAAGCGATGGAATATGGTTTCAAGGACCAGATCTCCTGTACCAGCCGGAGGATCAGTGGCCATCGAAAAAATCAACGTTTGAAGAAACCGAGGAGGAGGCACGAGGTTCTGTGTTGTTCCATGAGGTGATCAACGTTGAAGCGATTTCTCGTTGGACAAGACTCTTGCGAGTGACGGCTACCATGGTACGCTTCATCGTCAACTGCCGGCGTAAAAAACGAGGAGAGCCGATAGTGACAACATGGGCAACGACGAAGCAACGTCGGCTGATCGAAGCGACAGCGGTGAATTATGTGGCAGTACAGGTACCACTTGGGCAGGAAGAACTTCAGCAGGCCGAAACCATCCTGTGGCGGCAGGTACAGTGGGACAGTTTCCCTGATGAAATGAGCATGCTCACGAACAATCTGCAGCGCCAGCCGGGTCAGCCGCTTGAGAAGATTAGGAAGAGCAGTTGCATCTATAAGAGTTCACCGGTACTGGACGACGAAGGCGTGCTGCGTATGGAGGGTAGACTGGCGAATTCTGGGGAAAGTTCATTCGACAAGAAGCATCCGATCATCTTGTCCCGGTCCCACGAAATTACGCAGAAACTGATCCAGCACTACCACGAAGCGTTCGGGCACGCGAATTCGGAGACGGTGTTCAACGAAATGAGACAGAGGTTCCATATTCCCAAGATGCGCCCAGCGATCCAAAATGTGATGAACAGGTGCGTATGGTGTAAGGTGAACAAATGCCGTCCAAGATCTCCAAGGATGGCTCCCCTACCAGTTGAAAGAGTCACTTCTCATCTACGGCCCTTCAGCTCCGTGGGCATAGATTACCTGGGTCCGGTGGAAGTAACGATCGGTAGACGAAAAGAGAAGCGTTGGGTGGCAGTATTCACCTGTTTGGCTGTGAGGGCGGTGCACCTCGAAGTCGTGCACAGTTTGACAACTGAATCCTGCCAAATGGCAATCACTCGTTTCCATAGTAAGTTTGGGAAGTCAAATAACATATTCTCCGACAACGCTACATGCTTCCAGGGAGCTAACAACGAGATGGTAAGGATGGAGAGCATCAACCAGAAATGTGCTGAAAGTATGGCCAGTCCCGCTACCGCTTGGCACTTTAACCCACCCGGAACGCCACACATGGGCGGCATCTGGGAGCGAATGGTACGATCGGTTAAGGAGGCGATGCGTGCACTGGACGACGGAAGGAAGCTGACGGACGAGATCCTAGTGACGACGCTGGCGGAAGCGGCCGATATGATCAACATGCGGCCGTTGACCTACTTGCCGCAGGATTCGGTCGAAACTGAAGCACTGACCCCGAATCATTTCCTACGGGGAACGGTGGCCAGTGCCGACAAGCAGGTGGATGGTGGACCTACGGATTTCGCCGAAGCACTCCGAAATATATACAAGCGCTCGCAATATCTTGCCGACAAGATGTGGGAAAGATGGATTAAAGAGTATCTGCCGACGATCAACCAACGGTCGAAATGGTTCGACGAGCAGAAGCCGCTAAACGAGGGCGACTTAGTGTTCGTGGTCGATGGAAAGAACCGGAAGTGGTGGAGACGAGGTATCGTGGAAGCGGTAACCAAGGGTTCGGATGGACGAATCCGACAGGTGAACGTGAGGACCGCTGATGGAAAAGTTCAAAGACGTGGGGTAGTGAATCTAGCGGTGTTGGAGATTCAGTAAATCCAGATTTCAAGCATTACCGGATGTTACGGGCTGGGGTGTTGCAACACCGCAGAGGTGAATCTGGCAACACTGCATAACGGTACTGCAGATTGAGTGCTGCCGTTAAATGTTGACAAATAGGAATGGAGATAAGTAAACAAGATGATAGTATGTAGTAGTAGTGGTAGTAGTAGTAATATAGATAATAGTGAGTGGTAAACATAATTCGCCATCGCAAATATAATCTCGATGTATTATTAGAATATAAACAATTCAGTTCCGCGGTTAAAGTTTATTATTCGAAAATCGTATATAAATAGTGCTAGATTGGTCGCAGGAGGTACAAAAAACGTTCCTTATTTACCGCTAAATCCTGTAAGTAAACGAAAAGGAATAAAATTTAGTTAAGTTAGTGTATGAATGTAAATATTTACCCTCGTTTACTTACCTGCAGCGACGGTCGATCGTGGTGGATACCTGTAAAGGATACATTCACCCAAAAAGTATCTACCATTCCTCGTTGGATTTAGATTGTAAGTAAAATAAAGTATGATACACATATTCTTAGTAACTAGAAGGTTTTTGATAGCACCTGCAAATAGGTCGAGCATATAGCACAACAACGTTAGGGTAGTTGGACCGAAGTTCGGATCAAGCGCAAATCATACAGCAAATCGTAAGTTTCGTAGCGTTAGTGATGAGTGATCGTTAATTAAAATTAATTCATTTAATAGGATCAACAGAGAGAGTGTAGGAGGAAGAAAAGGAAGCTTTATACAGTGGGAAAGGAAACCACTTTATTGTAAGTAACATCTAATATTAATAAAAATTGTAAGCTAATGATAATAAATGTTTACAGTTTGAGCGTTGCTGAAAACTAGTCAGCTGCTGTTGAAATTTTGGTTTCCCTACGGGAACACTAGTCCTGACTTCTTCAAACTAGGGGAACAGGTTTTTTTCAGTAATCAAAGGAACACATCTTAGTCCTTGTTACTTTTTATGCCTTGTTGATAGTGATAAGTCCTCGGGTTGTCTGGACCGAGGATGATCTTGAAACAAGGAAAAAATGAGTTAATTAGTATTCACCTATGTATGTGATTCCTAATCTTCTATTCGTTGTTCCCTAGTTTGAAGTGGTTAAGACTAGGGTTCTGATGCATGGTCATTATCGGTTTAATAGCTTGTTTTTGTTGTTAAGGAATCCAATTTTGATTGACAAAGGGGCGCGCCTTTGGAGGGTGTTTCAACACTCCGAAGGGTATAAATAGCGGGACCTTTCAATTAGAGTCGGATTCTTGCGATAAATGCTAGAATGACAACTGTAAAAAAAATCGAATGCTTCATCATTTCTTAATAGTGATGGAGTAAAACGACATGCACTAAACTAAGGACATGGGATATACTACAATAGATCAAATTACTGGTCGCAGTGGTGTTATGTCCCGAACAGAGGAAAAAAAAAGCTTGAAATGCGAAGAAGAAGAAGAATGGTAGCAGTCGCTTCGTGTCTACCATCGGTGAAGAGAAAAAAGAGATAGCAATATTATACCTTCTCTTTCTAAGAATACGAGATGCAACGGGGATGATTTTTGCGTAGATTCAACTCTCAGCTTCAACTTTGCACGTTGTGAATAGTCTCGCAATATCACAGGAGCTTGTTAAAGCATGATATTTTGCTCCAACATCACGCGTTATATTAAGAGCGTATGAGAGCGGAAAATATCAATATGCTAATGATTCTGCCATGAAAGCCTCCTAAATAAAGCTAAATAATAATGATTCTGCCATCACTGACAACCAGCCGTTGTAGTTAGTTGACATCGTTTTAGATAATCGGGACAAACAGGATCATTCCAGAGTACCGTTCTGATTAATATTTCGGTTACTAAGGCATGTGCTGCAGAAAACGGACATATAATTTATGGTAACACATTATCTTGTTTCGTTTCTTCGATACATTGCTTAAATATCCTGAAATTGAGCTATCTGATACGATACGTTCAAGTAAATATCAAAACTTTTTGAAAAAAAAGTGTTATTTAACTAGGTCTACCAAGGTTCAATCTTCGGATACTTGTCTTTGAGAAGTTTAAAATATCGGACTCCCAATTTTGTACATATTTTTTAACCTACGTACGATATCAATCACTGTATAATCCCATTTTATTCATTTATTTTACCTACGTTATACTCGAATTGATGTTTAGTGTCGTTTAATCTTATGAAATTATTACATAAATGAACAAAACTGTCTTGTACGAAATATGAACCAAATTTTTTAACAGTGAAAAATTGTGATTCATATTACGGACACTTTATTTTACTAAGAATGTTGGAAATGCGTTAATATTTTTGCCAGCCATGTATCATTCAAGAGTGATACCTATAAAAAATGATTCCACAACCGTGGAAGAAGCGTGGTATATTTTTAATGTTTATATCATACAGGTGTATAGGTATTATAAGATATAATTTTAAAGTGTCTGTAATATGAATAAGAACGGTAAATATCGAAGAGCAGAGCGAATGAAAGATTTTTGCACACGCTCAATACGAATCACCTGAGATGTATGGTATGGGATCCACATGACATTTAAAGTGTGACAGAAAAATCTGCATTTGTTTGGCGAAAAAGATTTTTTTTTAAAGGTTTTGATTTTTAAAGTCAAAATTAGCCATTTTTTCCTTGATTTGTTTTCCGTCGATCTTGTTTTCCGTGCTGAGCACCAATGGTACCGACGCCAGGGAGGCAGCTCCCACACCTGAGACAGCTGGGCAATTTTGTTAATCCAACAATAGCAAAGTGAGGAGGTGCAACGCGAACACCGGCAAGATAACCGTAGCATAACCGTTAGAGGAACCTGAGCGTCCACCAAGGAGGGCAGAAACCAACAGAGAAAGATTAATAACTGATTTTACGGCAACAAACAAAGAACAAGAATTGGAACTAGTTTTACATGAGGTTCCAGTGGAGGGGCCAAGGTGTTTTAATTCTAGGCAAAAGCTCCAAATTCGATATTATAATCGTCGTTGGCAGTACTATTCGTATATTTTAAATTAACCATTGATCGTAGAAAATACATGAATTATCGCGTATGTTAATCGTTCGTTACAAACCAAAAAAGAATTTAACCATACTTTGACGCATTGTGCGATGCCCGATGACCTTGGAGGGATCGCTTTTGCTTACTGAGCAGAAAATCATGGATTTAATCCCAAGCTCTTCCACAGCACAGAAAATCACCATCGTAATTTGTATACATAAGATTAACCATCAACCTCGGATACTAGTTGCATTATCGCGTATTTCAGTCGTTCGTTACATACCAAGCGAAAACGTAGTCACGTTTAGTCGCGAAACGTTGTGATTCAGAGATGCTCGATGACCGTGGAGGGATCGTTTTTGCTTACTGAGTAGAAAATCATCGGTTTAATCCCAAGCTCTCCATCATGACTCTTAAAATGCATGATCACTACACAAAATGAATATTTTATTTCGATAGTCGGCTACCGAGAGATTAAATGAGCAACACATGAACAATATATACTTTTTGTTGCATCGCCAACTTGAGGCGAATCCTAAGCGAATACCCTACCCAAACATCCAACTACGTACCACTTAAGAGGGTGTCGCTAAGTGGGTGGCCTCTCGTTGAGTAAGCACTACATCAACATCTCCTTCCCTATCCCTAGTTATGGTAATTATAGGTGTGGCCGGGAATAGCGACAGTCATATGCTTCTGGTATTTTTATTTACTCCCCAGCTTCCTGAAAGTAGACTGACAGAATTTCAAAAGAGTCGTGAGTGTCGCTAGTATCCAATCTACGAAGTATATCATAACAACGATAACGGTAAATACAACACTCCCGGGAAATTAACTCTATGAAGAACTATCAATACATTAAAATAAATTTCGAATGGATGCTGATGGAAACTTTTTGGAGATGTTGGAAAGTGCTACCACAGCAGTCAGAAAAACCTCCGGAGAAAATTAGAAAAAACTTCCAGAGAAAGCTGACAGACTCCCGACATATCAGAAAAAGTTTAGAGAAACTTCCAGAAGTAGTCGGCAGATATTTCCGAGGAATGTCAACAGTACATCTGGGGGAACTCAGAAGGAGCTTCCAAGAGAAATGTAAACCTCCCACCACGAGTTCAGACGGATCCAAAGACGCATTATGGCAGGGAATCGTGCTTCCATTGGACTCCGAAGAACGCTCCGATCAAATAAAGTGGTAATAATCTTCAAAACGCTGATCAGATTGGTAGTCCTCTACGGCCACGAGAGATAGACCTAGTGTTTTAGAATGGAAGGTATTGTGTATTATCTACGGTGGAGTGAAGATTGAAGACGGAACCGTAAATTGCATCACCTGCTGGGAGAACCACCCATCGTCTAACCGTAAAAATCTGGTGACTACGGTTGGATGGGCATGTCGTAAGAATGTCGGACGAAAGCCCGGTGAAAATCAATAACGAATGACACGAAGAGGTGCGCAGTGGGCAGGTGGAAAGTGAACTGCGGAGCCTTCGCAGACTACGAGGCTGGCGACGTGCATCCATGGAGTAGAATGGCTGGAATGGAATAGAATATGTACATCAAAGGACACACGGAGCTTAGCCTGACTGGTAAGCCAAGGTATGAAGTTAAAACGCAGTTATATAATTCTTTTAGCACTTAAATCAATAGTATTAACGCTACACCTTTCTTTACAAAAAAAAACCCCAAAATGTACTTGTATAAATATGTTTCTTGTTACGAGATCCAATTTATCATTTATACAATCAATATAAGGAATGTCACCAAATATATATATTAAAATATGGTCCACTTTATTCTATAGCAGCGCCTCTAGTAGCCGAATTTGGAATGTTTTGACGACGTGGCCAAAACACGCGCCTGGAAGTTTTACAACCAAGTTCTGACGGAGTACAGACGATGTCATGGACGACGAAAACTATGCCAAGATAGATTCCAGGCAGGTTTCCGGACAAAGTTTTTATCTGTCCCCAGAAAATTTAAGTTTGTTTTCGCCGATAAATTCGCCAAGAACCTGATTATTTGGCAAGGAATTTGCATCTACGAACTCAAAACCAAGCTGTTCATAACCCACAAAACGATGTGCAGGATCAATTTTCTTTTCTCGTCTTCCATCTAGTACTTTTTTTTTTGAGACGAAACTTTCACGTGTACTTTCAAAACAAATCGCTGTCTAAACATTCCAAATCTGACCACTCGAGACGCTGCTATAGAATAAATAAAGTGTCCGGATTCTAAGTGGACCAGACTTTATGTACGCCTCTGATAAGAAAGTCAACCTATTGAAGGACGGCGGATGTGGCATACATACCGGAGCGGCAAAACAATGTTGTCTGATACGTGATACGATGATAGTCTCCGGAGTGCTACTGCTCGTACATACATATGTATGTATCTCTGTATGTATGTATGAATGTTAGAATCGTTTGTTGGTTGGTAGTATTGGACCGAAATGGGTCAGTGCGGAACGGCTATCGCTGTCGATTTCTCCACCGGGGACACTTCCGGTGCGATGCAAAAATGGCACAAACCGGATACTGACCGGCACGGCACAAAAGACAAATAAATGTGCATCACCAGCCGATATTGTATAATGTGCCGGTGGTGATTGTGTGCTTGTATGAGTGTGCATGTCTGTATGCAAAGCATTGTTGGTCTTTTTCTTCGTTACTGGAATTAGTGCAGCACATGCATTTCATTAATTTAAGGATTAAGAATTTGAAATTCAATCGCTTAGATTTATGGACGCTTTTGGAA